TTTTTTACTTTCTATAATTTTCTCTTCTTGCCTCTTATAGTAAGCAGGAGATTGTCTTCCAAAGATATCCATATCTTGCCTTCTAGAATCATACATAGTTAATAGGAATTAAAGTTGCACTTAAAAGTAGAAGAGAGAGTTGAGATGGGGTGAATAGGGAAGACAGATACAAAGAAGTACACCACCACTGTCTTTGAAGATGGAACGAGGGAGTCTTGATCATGAAGAATGTGTGTGGCCCCCAGATGACGGAAAAGCAAAAAAACTGGTTCTCTCTTAGAGGCTACAGAACATAGTCTTGCTAATATTGATTTTACCATTGTTAAGACCCGTGTGAGACTTCTGACCTCTACAGTGAAATAAACTAATGTTGGGCTAAGCCACAAATTTTGTTACTTTGTTACAACAGCAACTGAAATTGAATAAACGTCTATATGTAATTACAAAATTCTACAAATCTGCTATGGCTCATTTCAAATGTCACCATAATGTAAAGACTATTCTGCTCCTACAAGAGCCCTCTCTGCTGATCACCCTGGAATAGATTCCCTGCTGCTCTGATCTCACAAATTCATATGGGCGAGTTAACTGGTAACTCTCTGTCTCAATTATGTCCCAGGTGTGTGACTCTGTTGAAGTCACTTAACCACTCTGTGCCTTAGCTTCCTCACTGGGGGGCAGGGGGGCTTAAGGCTGTGGTGAGGATTAAATTTAGGAAACAATAAACATTTCATAGAATTATGTCTAGCACACACTTAGCAGTCCATATACACAATAATTATCATTAACTCTATCCTTGCCTATTTCTCAAAGCCGTGTCCAAACAGCTGTCTTACCACACTACTAAACAACCAGGTGCCGATTCATGCTTATCTCCTGCAGAGGAGCCGCTGCCTCATGGTAAGAGCCAGAAAATAATAGTTTTATTGGACAACTGGCTGCTAATCTCAAAAGGTTCACCTCAAAAAACAAAAGCATTATACAGTGGACCAAGGAGCCACTAAGATTTATATAGTCAACACAGCAAACACAGGGATAAAGCACCAAACATAAAATCAAGGGAGTATACAGAGGAAAAACATTATTTTAGGAATAAAAAGTGCCCTTATTACTGTTTTCCATATCTTCTTTTATATTAATAAAGTATTAGTAGCAATACTATTTACACACTGTGTGATCAAACAAGTCATCCTCTAAGCTCATTTAAAATACAGCATAACCTCAAAATTTCAATTTCCTCCTTAGCTAGAGTAACAAATATAGCCTTCTGTATTTTTGAATTACAAAAATAATAGATGTAACAATTCTAAAAAGATGAATGGTGACTCTGAAACCTGAGTAGTACTTACAGCGAAATTTTCTGCTAGTAGGACCTCCTTCACAAGTGGAAATTTTATGACATTTATATTTCCATACTCAATTTGAAAGTAATAAAATATTGAAAAGTGTTAGGATTTTGGTGAGAATAATTAATTTTCTTTTAAAAACTAATTATGGGTCTAACCATTTTTTAAAAATATTTAAAAGTAAGTGAAAGACAGCAACAAACATTAAAAAGAAAACCCCGACTTAAAATATTATTGACTGATACTGGGACAAATACTCATGAGTATGCTTTCACCTCAAATCAACTGCAAAGGCCACAACTGATGCAGAGAGACAGAAACCCGTATCTCAATTGGAGACAGTACACAATGAGTTCCCTCAATAACAAGACTGCATCTGCTTATTGATTTACAAGCATCAACTCTATAATGTGGTGGACATGAACAGATGTCAGAGTGACAGTAAATGTCCAGTAAACTTTAAACAGTTTATAGTATAGTCTCATTTAAAGAAATACTAAATCAATGAGAATGCAAAGTTACACATGAAAATTTCTTAATTCTATTTTGAATGGTAACCCAAAGCATATTTTTCTTTCTTTTTTACTTTTTTGGTACCAGGGATCTAACTCAGGACCTTGCATTTGGCAAGGCAGATACGGTCCCACTGAGCTAAATCCCCAGCCCTACAAAGCCAATTTTTAAATTTTTTTTAACATTTACAAAATAATTTTGAAAATAATTTTAAACATACAGCAACAAAAATGTTAAAGGCCTGAAAAGAAAACATTTATTCAATGAATATTAACTGAGTAATTGCTTTGTATTAAACACTGAACTTACAGGTACCAATATAAGAAATGTTAACATTTTCAGCATCGAAGGACCTTACAATTTAATGGAAGCTATAGATGACACAGTGTGAGTAGTGCTACAATTAGCTAACTAGGGAAGTCTGCGGATGTGCAAAAGAGAGACAGAGGCATTTAGACAGGTGGTGGAGGAGGGAACAAAGAAAGCGGCATATAGCTGAGTGCAGAAGGATCACAGCAGGCAAGGAGACTGGGGGAGGACAGCCAAGCCAGGGCTGCCCTTCAGTGTACAGAGAAGCCGAGAGTCAAGGCAGAAGACCCCAGTCTGAGAACTGCAAGAAGGGGTATGAAGTGGCCAGAGACACAGGAGTGCAAATGGACTAGAAAATATTAAAATAGACTGGCAACAAGTCCAAAGTAAATGCAAAGTCATTTTAAAGAGATCAGATGAATCCTGATCTAAGAAGGTTTAACAGATCCTGACAGTAACATATGCAAAAGAATGAATCTAGACAAAGGGGAGTGACTTGTCCTGCACATATGGAAAATTAAGAAGAAAGTCTCAAACAGTTTGACTTTGCCACTTTCTAGACACTGTTTGGCAAATTCCAAGAATTATTGTCCATTTGGCAAGGCAATTTGCACTACGAAAAAAATTCAGTTTAATTCCGTTATATTTTCAAATCATATAACTCAATCATTCATTCAATAAATAACTATTTATTAAATTCCTCTGTACATTCTTCTGTGCACTAAGCATATAGTGATAAATAAAGCAATTCAAAGTCTCTGCCAGTGGAGATCATTAAAACATTAATGAACATATATGCATTTTTAAGTAAGTGGTACAGAGGAAAGTAAGGCAAATACAGAAGAGACAGACCGTACAAAGCTCAATCATTCATTCAATAAATAACTATTTATTAAATTCCTCTGTACATTCTTCTGTGCACTAAGCATATAGTGATAAATAAAGCAATTCAAAGTCTCTGCCAGTGGAGATCATTAAAACATTAATGAACATATATGCATTTTTAAGTAAGTGGTACAGAGGAAAGTAAGGCAAATACAGAAGAGACAGACCGTACAAAGACCACTATTTTTTAAAATTTTAAATAGGAAAATTAGGAGGTGAAAAAAAAAAAAAAAAAGCACTGGGTATGCTGGTGTAGGCCTGTAAACCCAGACACACAGGAAGCTAAGGCAAGAAGACCACAACTTCAAATCAAGCCTAGCCTGGGCAATTAGCAACACCCTGATGCAAAATAAATTTTTTAAATGGCCTGGGGATACAACTCAGTAGTAGAGTACTTGCCAAATATGCCTTAAGTATATTCCCCAGCACCCCCCCAAAGTAATATTTTGCCTTGGATAAAGAAATTATAAGAATAGCAAAAGGTAAAGCACACAGCTACACTTCTCAATTACATTCTCAGGCTACAGAGGGAATATGTCGGGTACCTGTCAAAACACAACTACATCTTGTACCCTATCACTGTGAACTCTGATTAGTCTCTAGTTTCTGATGATTCCAGGTTTCTAAAGCTTCAACCCCAAAGGCTGGTCCTGAATAAATCTGCCAAGTCAAGTGATTACCACACAATAAGGCTTTTAGGGAAAGAGGTTGCTTTCTTCAAGTTTCTTGGGTCTTGGCACCCTTGCGCAGGATGAACCAGAGAATACAAGACTGAAGGAGAGATGAGTTGGACGAAGGGATGGGAGAAGGTAGGCCCTGGCTAGAGAGAGGGACGAGTGTGGGAGAAGGAAAGCCAAACTCACCCCTTCCCCAGGAGAAATAGCTGAGGAAAGAAGCAGGACAACTCACAAGGAGAGGGAAGGAAAATGAAGTAGAGCTAACAGACAGCTAGCTGTTCACGTGCGGGAAGTGGAAGGCGCCTCTATGACGTGCAGTTAGCACTGTGCTTTCAATTACAGAAGGCCTTGCTCTTACCAAGTTTTCAGAAAAAGTAATTATTTCACCTGCAGTCATAATATAAAGGAACCAATTTCAATAAATGCAAAAAAAAAAGCATGAATGAGTAAATAAAGTTATAATCAGGAAGGACTTAGAACAAAGTATGAAAATTAAGAGTATGTAATCATCATGAGGCTTTTCTTTAGCTCAAAGCTTTAACGTGAAAATATGCATTTCAGAAAGGAATTAAGAATGAAAAAATGGAAATAAAGTATCTGTAAATAGGGAAGGGAGGAGGGGGTGAAGGGAGGGCAGGGATATGGGGAAAAAATGAGAACCAAGACCTGTCATGTGAAGGTACAAGATCCCAATGATGACTGTAACTGTACTGTATACCTAAAACGTACCAATAAGCTCATTGAGAAAAAAAAAAAAGGAATTAAGATGTGCTATGTACATGAACAAACTTCCCATGAGGAACATACATGTACTATACACATGTACTAATAAACTAAAATGAAAATAAATTTTAAACATATGCATTTCAGATAATTAATAATCAAAGGATGATCAATATTATGGACAATATTTATCATAACCTCAATGAAAAAGCAGCCAAAGATGATAAATTGTTAACCATCCCACAGACTGCTCTTGTTTAAAAAAGATTTTATTCAAGGCATAGCAGGTAAATGAAATCCAAGTTTATCATCAAAAATTAGAAGAATAATATCAAAGTTACTAAATCCTGAAGTAAATATAATTTGTGAGAAATGACACAAATATAATTTGTGACTGTACTATAGTCAAAGAGCTTTAGTGCTTTTTTGTGACTTCTTTCCCAAGAAAATGTACAACTACTTTTAGACATCACATGTCCAGGAAAAAAACTGAATTCATGGAAGAAAGATAGTGAGTATTTTATGAGCAAGTGTGACAGAAGCTTACCCAGTATTGATGGAAATGATTTCGATCAGTGGATTCTTCCTAATCTTTGGCAAATCCAACGGTGCTCCCCCCAACCGCTTTCCATTATCCTTCTTCTGACCCAGCAGTCGCACAGAGTGACCTTCAATAAAACACGTAAATATACATTAGCACAAAGCACACAGTTCTGCTCTAATTCACTGCTTTCAACAAATGTGTTGTTTGCATTATCTTTTCTTTTAATGGAGGAAAAGAAAAAAAACCTGGAGGAAAGGTGATCGTTTGAATCTAAGAAATACTGTCAAATAGAAAAGCAGCCGTGTTCAAAGCCTGCAGTGAAAAATGCTTTGTTCACAGTGTTTGCACTTTTCTATTGAGAAAGAGAAGGGTCTTCATAGCATCATTCCACAAGATATGAATGCTCCCTAGCACTGTCCAGACATCTGCGTTCAATAGGAAGGTTTTCACTTAGGCACGAAGCTTGCCTGCCACTAAAAGGAGACCAAAAAAAAAAAAGTTGAAAGAAACAAATTCAAAGATGTACACAAAGCATATAACAAATCAAAGAAAAGTCAGAGTTATGGTAAAATTGCACTTCAGGGTTGGATGGGAGTGCAGGAGGGAAGGGACTAGCAATTGAACCCAGGACCTCCTCACTAAGTTACACATCTCCAGCCCTTTTTAAACATTTTTTGGGGGTTTTTTTGGTACCAGATCCAACTGAGGTCCTTGCACTTGCGAAGCAGGTGGTGGAACCACTGAGCAAAATCCCAGGCTCCATTTTTAACTTTTTTACTTTGAAACAGAGTCTCACTAAGTTGTAGCTACACTGCCCATGCTGGCGCAAACCTGAGATCCCATGGGCTTCTTTTGCCTCAGCCTCCCAGAGTGCTGGGATTATAAGCATACAGTTGGACATTTTAAAAAAAACATTTTAAAATCTGTTTATTTGTACAAAATGGCATAGAAGGAAACACAGCCACTTCTAAGAGCCATTAAAATTACTGATTTTTCAAAAAAAATTTGACATAACTTCAGACTTGTATTAAAGACAAAAGGCAGTGCAAAGAAATCTCAAATGATTTCAAATGAATTCGTACTATTTGTCAGTCAGCACAATAATCCAGTTTTAGAATATTTCCATCTTCCTCAAAATTCCACAAGTTTAGTCCATCTCTGCTCCCACAACAAACAGCATATTTTCTTAATCCATTGATTAGATGATGGATATTTGGATTGTTTCCAATTAATACCTACCATAACACTCTATGAACATTCGCATACAGGTCTTTGTATAGATATATGTTTTTATTTTTGTTATGCAGTCCTGGTAGCAAACTTATTAGTTATATGGTGAATCTATATTTAATGTCCTAAGAAACAGATGTTTTACAAAGTGATAGTATCCTTTTAATATTTCTACCTTTATCAGATATGTAATTTGTAAATATTTGCCCTCCATTTATGGCTTATATTTTCACTTTCAAGATGATAATTTTTGGAAAGTAAATGCTATTCAATTTAATAAAGTTAAATTTACCAACTTTAATCTTTATGGCTTCTGGTGCCACATCTAAGACCTCTTGGCTGAAGACTTTTCCTGTTTTATTCTGGGTGTCTTTTTACTTTAGCTCTTATATTTAGGTCTAGGATCTACTTCATGGTTTTGCAAAGTAAGGGGCTCAGTTCAATTTTTATAGAGATACTGCCGTAAGGCCGCTTCTTTTCCTTCTTCCCCTTTTGTGCTACTGTTGTTACACATACCTAATCTATAAAGCTGTCCTAACTCAGAATATAGTTCTCTAATAGTTATTTTACATAAGTAAAAAATGAAAAATACGGTTATACAGTACTTTATATCTATCCATATGAATACCATGTCTAGCAATTTCCACTGTTCCCTGAAATTAAGGTTATCATTTAGTACCACTTTGTTTCTGCCTCAAGAACTTTTTTTTATTAATTCTTACACAGCAAGTCATTTAGCAACAAATTCTTTGTTTATCTGAGATTGTTTTTATTTTGCTTCATTTGTAAAAGATTTTTCCTTTGATGATTCTCTATGTCATATGCCTGTGATCTTTTATTGCTCCTGATAAGATATAACTAGTAACATTACTATTGTTTCTCCACTCATAGTACGTCGTTTCTCCTCAGATGCTTCCGAGATCTTCACCTTGCCTTTCAACTGTTTGATAATATTGTGTCTAGTATGGATCTCTGTGATTGTCCTATGTGGATACCTGGCTTTTTGGATTCATTAAGCTCCCCATCAAGTCTGCGACATTTTCATCCAGTATTTTAAAATTTTATGCATGTATGTCAGCAAGAGCTTTTTTTCTCTTCTTCATTTGCAACACCCATGACACATTTGCTAGTGTGCTAGATGTGACCCCCACAGGTCTCTGGGGCAATTTAGGCAGAGCTCTCCAAAGAGACAGAATTGACAGGATAACTACAAATTTCCTTCCATGATTTGGAGGCCAAGATGTCCCACAATAGGCCACCTGCAAGCTGGTATATTCAAGTTGTTGTCATGATACTCCAGTCAGTTCTTTGAAGTATTTGTCTTCTAAATCAAATGTTTTTGGTCACCAAAAGACAATCAATATTTTCATGAAAATTTTTTCATGAACATAGTTATACTTGGTTTCTTTGTGTATATTATAACAGAGTGTTGAATACTGGGCATTTTAGATAACACAGTACTCCTGATTCAATTTTTTCTCAAAGGTGATTGTAATTTTCGTGTAGTAACATAGCTAGACTAAATCTACGAAGCCTGTCCTCTCCATGATGAACGGTTGTTGATTTCCCTGCTTAATATTTTTCCAGGCATGGCTTTCTAGGAGATGACTCTATATGGAGATAATTTTTGTTTAAGTCAAAGACTGATTACGCGTTTGCTCAAACACACAGTCAGTAAGATTCCTAGTATCTGCTCATGGATCTGTACATAAGCCAGGGAGACCATTCAAAGTTGGGGCCATTTTAAGTCAGCCTGATCTTTCCCTCTCTCTCTCCTGGCCTCTCCTAGATCTTCTCTGATATATTCTGGTTGTGCATGCAGGCTCCTACATGCAGGTAATTGTAAGTATGGGCCTGCTCCTGTTTCGTGCCTGCTAGGCACATGCACCACCTCCAGTCAACTCAAGGTATATGGAGAGGTTTTCAAGCTTCCTGTCACTGTCTCATATTCCTGAATTCACAGGGAAATAAATCCCTCCCTAGTGCACCTATCTACCCATAGCTTGTATCAAACAGGCCACCAAGAGCTATAATAGTGTCTTCTCTGTCACCTGACATCAAAATCTTCACACTAACTTGACAATTCCCTCAATCAACCAAGCCATCTCAGAAGCAGCAAAGTAGCTACTGGTTTTCAGAGACTGTTCCATCCTGGCTCAACAGTTTTGCTCACAGAGTTGAGAGAAATGGGATCAGCCCTACCAGAAACACTGGATTCTCACCGTCCTTCACCAAAGCACAGTTATCTTTATGAATAAATACTTCTCAATTAGTTGAATGCTTTTAGTCCTTTTCCAAAATAAGGCATAATTTGCTTTATCATCACTTTTATTTATTTACTTATTTATTTTTGGTACCAGGGATGGAACTCCGGAACTTGTGCTTGTGAGGCAGGCAGTGGAACCACTGAGCTAAATCCCCGGCCTTCATCGCTTTTTTTTGTTTTTTAAGAGGAAGTTATGTTGACCTTCTAATGCAATCCAGCCAAAGGCAAAAATTTTAACTACAATTTTTAAACCAATCACTTAAAATAAATTCAAATGCATAACTAGTATAGATATAAGATTCTAAGCAATTATATACATGTTTCACTGCCCCTCACTTCAAAAAGATATATTGCTTAAACATCTGACTAGACAGCTTTTCATGACCAGAAGTAATAAAACCATCAGTCACAGCCTTTTGGCACTAATCACTTTAATAGGAAATATTAAGTACTTCATTCATACTGAAATTTTTTTGTTCTAACATAGAAACATACTCAGTGTCAAGCAAGTATTTGACAAATCAAATTCCACAGATTTTCAAGATAAGAACTTTTCAATCAAAAGTCCAGCTAATGAAAAAGAAAGCAGGACTGGCACGAAAACACAACAGTTCTCTGAAAGATGCTACAAATTCAATAATGACTATGCAAAGGCATGTTATTTTCATACTAGCATGAGACAAATTTCATTACATCCTGCTGAAAGTCCAGTAATATGCAGCTTGCACTAACATTTAATAAATTATTCATCTGCACTACATACATGAAAATAGAGGAATATATCTCTGCTTGATAATATAATGAGTTATTTTCCATTGTAATGATTCATTAAAGTTTACCAAAAATCCACTTTTCTTTTCATTGAAAGATATAATACATTAAATACAGAGTAGCAAATAACATAAAAGCCACTTGTTATATTTAGCCAAAGACGAAAAGGAATTTGATTCATATAACAATTATTTCTTTTAAAATACCCTAGTAAAAATTTTTTATTTGTGATATACCATCTCTCAAAAATTCTGTCTGAAGGAATTCCTGTTTCAAATTAGTTCCTTAAATCCACAGATCATAATAAGAATACATGACTCCCTACCTATTTTAAGTGTAGCTATCAATATTGTTGCCTTCTAAAACAAACTGAAATCCAGCAGAATAAAGAGGAAAGCTGAAGGAGGCTCCTTAAAGATGGCACCTCTATGAAAGAAAAGAGGGAAGAAACAAGGGGACAGAATGTGAGGAAAGTGCTGAGACTCTTGAGTCCTAAAAAGTAAAAGGGAAATTTCTGGAGCAGGTTCATGCTACAAATGACTGTGCTGTACCTAGAAAGGGACCAGGAGGCAAAGACCACACTTACACACTCACAATTTCCTTCTTTGATCGCTTGTCTTTACCACTGGTGCCTAGTAAAGTTATGGAAAAAGAGGAGCTCAATCAGTACTGATTTATATGTGAATGTCCTCACCATTCCAGCCAGAATTAAAGGAAAGGGAGAGAAAAAAGACATCAGGATAACAGAGCTGACAAGAAAAGGGGAGTGGAAATACCAGTTTATATGACATTTTGCATCCACATAATAAGAAATTAAGGGAGACAACAGTAACAGGAGCAGATGGGAAGAAGGATGC